CAAACATTTCTGAGAACTCATGTAGATATGTTTAACTTTTCATGTTAATCGAATTTTAACTTTTCATGTTTCATTATATATGAGAGTGGGAGTATGTGCAAGTTTTTTTTTTGTTTTTTTTTTTTTTGTTTTTTTCATTCTGGTATTAGCAATATTACTTGCTCACTGGTCTACTTTAACAAAGTAGATTAATATAGAGCGAAGCTCTAAAGCATCGCGCGAAGCGCGGTGCTTGAGCAAAGCTCTTTTCAGGTAACACAGGAGCGGAACTGAAATTGTCACCCACAGACTGTTGATTAAAAAAAAATTCAGACCGGAACCGGATACACTCGGCAAAACAGGCAATGCGCATGTCAACTTACCAAATCTCGCCCAAGCGAGATTACGCGCCTCATAGAACTATTTCTATGACGCATCTAATCAATGACGTCACATATTTTTGATGTCAATGAAAATAATTCTCACACTTTCTTGTTCTTTTTTTAAAAACAAAATTAATGTATACAATTTAGATCTAAATGAAAATCAATTTGGAAAAACTAAATTATTTAACATTTTTTGTATCACTTGAGAAAATTAATTATGAAGGTTTTATATTTGACAATAATCAGCTTCGCTCTACTCAGGCAATGCCTGTTACATATTACTAATTAGTTAAATGTGGTCTGAAGCCTTCTTAAAACCATTATGGTATATAGAGTTGTTTCCCTTGTTAATAAAAGGCCTTAGCCCTAGAGCATTCTGGGATGGGGTGAAACTTCAAGATGGATGTTGGTTTGTTGCATAGATATCCTATAAAGACTAGATAGGCCACAAAGCCAAGTGCGCATCATCAGTAACGTCACAACGCGCCGCCATCTTGAAAGTTGTAGTCTATGTAAACAGGAAGTACTAAGTATAGGGGCATAAGCGTAGATTTCATGTATTTTGTTTTTTCGCAATGGCTTCAAAAGGACCCCAATGCTATGCAATAAATTGTACCACGTACAAGAATCCATAGAGCCGAGCGGAAGGCGTCACATTTCACAAGTAAGTGTATTATAAGTTATTATTAGCCGACACGGCGACAGAGTATTTCATTGAAGTTGAAGTTTGAAGGAGGACCTCACGATCACACAAACCTGCGGATACACTACAGAGACGTTTATAAAAAAAATAAACAATAGGCCTATATCAAGAGAATGGATCCCGGGGCAAGCCGTAAGCGTCCACTGTGCTGTACAGTCCCGGTACTGTAATGATACAGCAAATTAGGCTTCTCTCAAAATGACACAAACTCACAATAAACAAAAGCTGACCGCCAGACGATCAATGATTGATCATGGCTTTCAGTCAGACTTGGGTTTTCTTCTTTTTTTTTGTACCAGCAATAATCGAAAATCCTCCATTTTTAGTATAAATGACTCATATAATGAGCTGACCATCGCATTTTTTAATAAATAATGAAACAGTAAAGAATTGAGGATCTTGACAGCTGTCGCCGAAGGTGAAATTAATTTTCTTTTTTAATTGTCAGGTTTCCAAGTGCTGAAAAAAATCCAGATCTTTTGCGTGTATGGATTCGCAACTGTAAGAGGATGAAACAACCGTCTAAATACAGCCTTGTGTGCAGTAAGCATTTTGAAGATGCTTGTTTTGACCGAACAGGCCAAATAACTCGCCTGAGAGAAGGAGTAGCCCCCACTATTTTCAATCTGCCTCCTCATTTACAGGTATGTCTTTGCTGAAATTGGCGCCTCACTCTCTAGATGTTTTATTCCGTGGGTATTATCTGTCATTGTCGATGTGATATTATTTTATTCGCTTTTTATACGCCCACATTTTCATGTGGACGTATATTGTCGTTGCCCCTGTCCGTCCGTCCACAATTTTTTGGTGGACTCGCTACAGTTCACAATTCTTGTCCGATTTTGACGAAACTTGAAATGTTGGTTTATCCCAGTCCCAAAAGATCTCGACTGCTTTCGATATTGGCATGTAATGTTGTAATTGATTCACTAATGCATGACTTGTTGAATAAGTAATTCATGCCCCTAGATGATTAAATTCCTTACAGTGTATTTCTAGTTTCTATCATATTTTGTGATCAATAAATAAATCATTATTTTACTCTTTTAGCTCAAAACGTCCAAAGTAAGGAGTACCCTGAATTCATGCAATGAAAAGCTTGAAGGAATTGAATCATCTGCTGTTGACCCAAATGATGTAGAGTACTTAGATAAAATTGTAATAAATCAGGTAATTTCCATCTTTCTCTTAAAGGGACAATAACACTCTTGCTGGCTTGAAAGCTCCAGAAAATAAATAATATCTCTATCTAAGTACTAGATGTTTAAGTGTCCTACCTGTTGTCTAAATTATCCATTACATCCTATTTTAATAGTCCAGAGGGTTCGAAAATATTTTTAAATCGAAGTTTCATAAAAGATTTACGTTCGACGTTTCAAACCATTATGTTGAATTTTTCAAAATTTTTAAATTAGGTGTGTTAAGATGAAATTTGTATCATCAATTAATTGAAATATTGTAAAATAGTACAATTTGTTGACCAGAATAAAGATTGGGGCATATTATTCAGTTACAACAAGAGTGGTATTGAGCCTTTAATGGTTGTGACCAAGAATTACATGTATGTTATTCATTGTGATAGACCAACCTGTTTTCAAGCTTTACTTCTTCACATACTGTCATGATTGAATTGATAATCTGTAACATTAATTGTTTCCAGTGTTGTATATTTTAAATTATTCATTTAAACTATCTGCTTGATATTTACTCATAAAAAATGATGATATAAATTATTACATACATGAGATTTTATCACACATGCATAAGGTGAATTATGACCTAATGGTATTTATAGGGATTACACTTTTTGGATAAAGTAGGAATTCCGCTACTGAAAGTGGGTTTGTCCCATAATGGTATTTGAACCCACGTTCATTCCCAGAGTAAGGCCCAAATCATCAGCATAAATTCAATGTCAGTACTCTTCTGGCGAGTTAGCTTTAAGTGATAATGAATTGTGAAAATGTGCATTAAGTTATGCATTACATATATTTCATTACTGGATATTTGTATTAATAGTAACTTCTGTTTGTACATATATCTGTAGGATCATTCATATACCAGTTCCCCAATGAAATGGAAAAGGAAACTGCAGGAAGCGGAGGCAAAGCTTGAAACTGCCAGAAAGAAGTTACATAATTGCCAGAGACGAGAGCAAAGATCAAAACAAACTTGTCAAGTTCTGGTGCATGATCTATATGAAAAGAATATGATCAATATGGAATTACGCTCTAAGCTAGATTCATATGGAGGTATTTATTTTTGCACTTTGGAATAATATCTGTTTACTGAGTCTCAAAGTGTTAATATCACTGTTGTCTTGAGGTCTGTTGTTACCTACATGTACTATAGATCCTATTCAATTACTTCAAATGATAGTAAAACATTCAGTCCGACATTCATTTAAAAAAAACAAAACAACATAATCTATTCTTTAACCATATGATTTTTAATGGATTCATCGAATTTTGAGTATAATATTTTTAAATTCTAATCTAATAACAGAAATACCTAATTATGTTCTCAATTCTTATGCACAATATTTTATAATTATTTACTTTGGCAGATATCCCATGTGAGCTTTTCAAGAGACCGTCAAAGGATTACACTAGTGATCAAAGAGATTTTGCCTTATCTTTACACTTGAGTTCTCCAAAGGCATATGATTATCTTCGTGAAACTGTCAAGATTTGTCTTCCGCACCCAAGATCTCTGAGACGGTAATTTTATTTGAAATTATATATCTGTGATTGTGAACAATTTCTTACCTTACTTTCTCCCTTTCTTGAATGATGGAGAACCTCACCAAATTTAGAATTTTTGGACCAGGAACTGGACCCCAAGCGCTAATCATCTTTTTCTTCTTGTTGTTCTTATGGTGAAGCTCTTCGAAAAAGCCCAAGGCTCCATCAATTCAAGACCCATACGGGCAAGCGAATTATTGAAATAAAATTAAACCATATGTTAGTCCCAAAATGACCTAGTTTGTGTCGAGTGGACGTTAAACTCTATTTCTCTCTCTCTCTTTGAACAATACTGCATCGATTTAATGAATTAGATATGACGTCGCAATTCCAAGCTGGTGGCGATGACCTCATGCTCGGTTCCTGGTCTATATAGTACTATCATAGAAGTTTATTTATTTGTGTGTGTATGTTTTTGAAAATATGCTTTGTCTTTTTTAGTTGGATAGAAAGTGTGGATTCGGCACCAGGATTGAATGTTGCAATGCTGGAGGTACTTATGAGATAATTGTTCTTATGCACTAGGCCAAAAATAAAAATATTTTGTTTCTGGTAACCCGACCGACTCATAGTATAATTTTTCATATTGCCTGCATCATCTTTGAAAGCACACAACATAATTATTATGGATCTAGATATGAGGGTTTTTTTTTAAAAAATAACACCTACCGACCCTACCCTATTTTCCATCCGTTACAGGAAATAGAACCCTTTTTTTTTGGTCCTATAAGTGTAAAACCATTCAATTTCCAGAAACTGTACCGAAACAAGTGATATTTGTTGGTCCACTATTTATTTTTTCAATATTGAGAGAATCCAGGAAAATGGACCTTTTTGGAGCAAGATTGTGAAAAATCTATTTATTTATTTAAAAGTAAAAGAGTATGTAGATATCTTATTTTTGAAACTAAACTCTGAGATATAACTATGGAATACAGTTACTTTGTTTATTTGTGTGTGACCTTTTGTAGAGTATTCTCAAGCAAGTTGTATGTTTAGCTCGGTATTTAGCAATATAATGATAACTTTTTACATTTTTTCAGTTGTTGCCTAATGATTGATGCTATGGCTATCCGTCGCCACATAGATTACAACTGGCATGATGGTACGTATAGTGGCTATGTAGATATGGGTCATGGTGCTGAAAATGGGGAAGCTAAAGAAGCCCTTGTCTTCATGTTAGTTGGACTGAGTGGTGGATGGAAAGCACCCATTGCTTACTTCTTCACCAAGGTCTTGACAGCTGAGACCCAGAAGCAACTGGTTCATCATACCATTGATAAACTGCATGAATTAGGCTTTCAGGTGCATGCATTAACTATGGATGGCCATGCCACCAATGTTTCCATGTGTACTTTGCTTGGTGCTAACTTTGATTTCACAGGAAATAATTTGCAAACATACATTACCACTGGTCTACCACACAAAACGTGCATAATTTTTGACGTCTGCCATATGATAAAACTTTTGAGAAACATGCTTCAGGCCTATGGTGCTTTAGTTACATCTGATGGTAAAGTTTCCTGGCAGTACCTGAGTTTGCTCAATACAGTGCAGGAAGAGGACGGTCTTAGATTGGGTAATAAGATATCATCTCGTCACATCATGTTTTTCAAGCAGAAAATGAAGGTGTCATTAGCTACACAGCTATTCTCTTCATCTGTTGCCAAGGCTCTACGTACCATGAAAGATATTGGTGATAGGAGGTTTGAGGATTGTCTTGCAACTGTAAAGTTTATTGAGGTAAATATATGTAGCTTTTATCCCAATCAGCCTAGATTTACAATAGTAAAGAAAACATTTCAATTTTGTTTAGAGGATGACAATTAAATATCGAAATTTGTGTATCCATTATTTAGCGTATCGACAGACTGTTTGATATATTGAACAGTAGATCTCCCAGAGGTAAGGGCTACAAAAGCCCCATTAATGCTAGCAACTTGGCTGTTACTGAGTCATTTTTGAAAGATACAGAGGCATTTCTTCTGAACATCACAATGCTCGATGGCCAGCCCCTTTTGACAACTAAAAGGTAGCATAATGAGAGTTGGGCTTTGAAATGTTAGACAGTTAATGTTTCTGTATTAAATTTCTCAAGAGTTGTAATTTGTTTCTGTGCAGGAATGATTTTTTTCTTAAAGATGCATTATGCAAGAGCTAAATCTGCCTATTGCACGTTTTCTTTTGGCTTCAAATGTTATATAAATTATTATTTAGACATGTATTCACATGACATAATCAACCCTTTAGTGCATCGGATGCCCGAGATTAGAGCCATTTAAAAAAAATTAACATTAAAATGGATAGTCTAGATTGTCAAATATCGTTGCTAGGATAATAAACAATCTACGCTCTATCTTGTCAAAACTTCAAACACTTATAACTTAGCTCAGAATAAAGTAATTTGAAATTTTCAATATATTCATTTTTCATTAACTATTTATTTTAACTATTATAGCAAGAACGACCATCCCTTTATTTAAATCTTACATAATGCATCTTTAATTGTTTCTAATGTTTTATTAATTTCTATTTAAAGAATTATTTTTTGTTTAAGACTATTTTCCCATGAAATTTTGATATCACAGTTGTGTGGACATTTAGTCTGATAGGCAAAAAAATGTCTTTAAACTGATAGGTTGATTCTTTATCTGTAAATTTTACTGCCATACCAATTATTACTTGCCTTTAAATTTTTAAAAGACACAAATATCAAACATTATTATTATATGAAATGGACATTGCAGTAATTAAATTTGAATATTTAACCCATTAATTTTCACGTTGATGTATGTTTTAAAATCTATTTTCGTTGCATCTGGATTTGTTCTTCTAATTTATACATGTACTAAAATTACTCAACAGTCTTATTTTTTCTACGTCATGTATTATATTTTGTAATGGATTTGTACTAGATTAACTTTATTTATTTCTCCCTAGGTCAATGTGTGGGAAAGGTTTAATTATTGCAATTGAATCTACATTGACCATAGCACACCAAGTTCTTGGTAATCAGAAATATCTGCTATGCTACAAATTAAGCCAGGACCACTTAGAATTGTTTTTCAATGCGATCCGGCGGGGTGGTAAGTAAAAAATTGTTGTAATTTTGCTTAAAGGGCATATGGGACCAATATGGAATTCTAATTTGTGTTTTTAATTTCGAATATTATGGATAATAAATTAAAGGTTTAGCTCCTTTAAAATCAAGGTGCCACAACTCAATTTGTTCATCCAATATTTGATGTACATGTATGTTGTTATTTTTATCAACCAGATCTTGGATGAGGTTATCACCAAATCGGCCTTACAGGGATGTTTAGGACCATCCTATATTTGAAGATAATAATTGAGCTCGTGACTCTCTGTATGTGGCTTATCTTGCATTACATTTTGCTTGAAATTTCTTTCAGGTGGTTGGAATAACAATCCCTCTGCAAAAGTTTTTGAAAGCTCTTTCAAGAGAATCATTACCCATTGTGGTGCTTTGAAGGTGAGGAAAAAATTTTCAAGAGACAGCAATTGGAACTTGGTAGCTGTTGGTTTTCAAATCAATCTTGTTCAAAGTAAAAAATGTTCAGACATTTGTAATAGTGGTTTTGAATGCAGAAAATCTTTCCAGGTGTTTTGTCTCAGATTTAGTTAATATATTGCTACTTTCATCATGTAATTTTGAATGAACAAATTATTCACATGAATAGCAAAACATCATGGAGGTATTAAGAGGTATCAATCTAAATATAAGCACATCCATGCAGTGTGCTGAATACATATTGCCAATTTACAAAACATTTTTTTGTTTTGGGAGTAATTTTTGCCATACATATTTTTAGGTTTCCAAAGAAGGGAATTGTATCGCCCAGGATGACACAAGTCTTGTGCAAGCCAGTACATCGACTTACTTGCCACCAGATGCAGGGAAATCGGAAAATGATGATGATGGTAATGGTGAACTTGACTTGTATGAAGTAGAAGCAAGGAACCTCTTGGACCACAGCTACAGCAAAAACCAACTGTCTTTGGTTACCCTGAATATCATTGTGTACATTTCAGGGTGGATCATCCGTAAGCTTTCAACACAGTTGTCATGTCAAATCTGCAAAGATTCTTTGACTGGGTATCCCTCTGATAACTGTGGTGTCTTCCATCTTTTGAAGAACAAGCAAAATGGTGGACTGTTGACTCCATCACAAAGTCTAGTGTATGTAGTGATGTCTGCAGAAAAGCACTTAAGGAGGATGACAGATGTTTGTCGTGTGAACTCTTCATTAAACTTGTTGCGTCTTCAAACATGTGTTTTAACAGACTGTCTTGCTGTTGATTTATTTGACTCAAACCATGGCTATGAAACTCATGAAGGTGTTGAAAACCATAATTTGTCTTTAATTAGATCAGTTGTCTCAGTTTTCTTCAAACTAAGACAGCATCACATTGTAAAACTGCACAACCTCCACAAGCAATTTGATAACTGCAGACACACTTTAACAAAGTCCATTTTGTTTAAAGGACAATGAGCCTTTATTTTTTATATGGAAAGTAGAGGCACCCAATCTTACTAGAAAACTGGTGTATGTAGTAATGTCTGCAGAAAAGCACTTAAAGATTGGTTCCCGCGTACAAACTGGGTGATTTAATGGTATATATGGACTAAAAACATATTCAAACTAATTAATTTGTCATAATTATGCTTCAAATCCTTCTCAAACATTGTAATTACGAAGGAATGCCCTGCTATTAAAATTCGATCAAACCAGGTTATGTTAACGTCACGTCTTGGAAGTCAGAGGTGAATTCATTGAATACATAAGACGATGTTGTCTTTAATCGCTTACTATTTACTACATTTATCGAATCCTAATTAAATTCTCGGATTATCCACTGTTCGCTTGTGACCTTTGACATCACGCATGCAGAAATTCTTAATCATCGGGCTGTTAATTAGGGGAACCCTTACATTTTTATCCTGTATACGCTCCATGAGTGTTTTTCGGGGAATCCAGTAATTTTCTAGTAAGACTGGATATCTCTATTGGAAATAACCACCCTATAAATAATTTTCTGGAAACCCATCAGTCAAATTACTTTATTCAGGGCGCATTTATGAGCGTTGGAAATGTTGAGAAGAAATAGCATACTTGTAGTCTCGATTGTCGATCAATATATTCCCAAGATAATAAGCGAAGACTCGATTGTCCACCAACCGCTAAGGTGATATTATTATTTAATGGGTGCGGTGTTCTAATCTACATAAAGTCGGAGCCATCCTATGGTCTAGAGAGTTTATTATGGCCTTGTTATGTAAATGTCTAAATAGTAATTTATATTACATTTGAATCCAGAAAAAGACCTGCAATAGGCAGATTTAGCTCTTACATAATGTATCTTTAAATAAAAAATGATTAATCAAATTATATAAAAAATAATATTATATAAATTGTGTTTAAAAAAATGATTATCACAAATTTAAGTAATTTTATAGTTATTGAATCAATCCAGTATTGAAAAGTTCATTTCTGCTAAAAAAAAAAAATAAAATCCTCCTTGATTTTTTTCTAAATTACTTCTTCTACCTCCTGGGTTCCAGAAAGTTTGGTTGTTGATTTTGTTTGAGTGACCTGTCTTCATTAGCCCAGTTGGAGCAGAGCAGTAGAACATTAAACCCCATTTCATTTCATTTTGTTTGAGTGTTGATCAGGTTTTCTATTTCTATATTGATTGTAGTTGTATCGGGTGGGCTGTGAAGTTTTATTCTCCAATTTAACTTTGTGTTAAAAACAGTTACCAATATATTTATCCATGATCATCATTGAGACATTTTCACAGTATTTTATAGAACGGGCTGAGTAATTATATAGGCCCATTTATTATAACTATAAGAAGGTTGCACAAGCGTCAGTCTGACACTGTCTGTTGTTACCATGATTTTGATTACTGACCACAAAGCAGAATTATTTCATATGATCGAGAAAATGTATACAAATAATAAAACCGCTGGCAACCGCCTATATACTAAGACACAAATATTATGAATCATCAACAGTACCACAGCCACTTTTCCTTGTTTACGTTAGGCCTACAATAGTCCAATACAATGACGAGTGTGGATCGAAGAAACTAAACCTCGGCTAGACCCCTTGGTTACGGCCAAATGATAGCTGTAAGGGGCTAAATTACAATTTAACGGCCTACACTAAGCCCGAGAACGCCCGTGGCATTGTAAATAAATGAACATGCGGTTATGTTATGCACTCGGTGTTTTGACAGACTACAACCAACGTAGCAACTTCCAATATGGCGTCTCTATTCTACCGGAAGTCAGTAGCTAATAGCCTATCTAGTCTTTATAGGATATCTATGGTTTGTTGACTCATAATTAAATAAATCCAATCCAGGAGAATCCTAGAGAAAACACCCCAATACAACAGTGATTTAATGTGTGTTTGAAAGGGTTTAGCCTACAAAATGTTGTGCAATCAAAATATAACTACGCTACACTAAATGGGGCCATATATTTACATTATTTACACAACACGTGTTTTCTTTATTCATCCTCTGTCACATTGTTATGATAAATGGTTCCGTGTCGTCTCTGTGAGTAGTTCGAATGTATGATGTAGGGAAACATAGTAAAATAAGACATTGTATTTGTGAGAGCCAGTGGTAATATGAAATATCCGTTTAGGACAGCATGTGTGTACAAATGACGATAAATAACAACATGGCAAATGTAAACGTTTACAAACAAAACAAATGATTTTATAATGTAGACTATATTTACTACCGTTGCCAGTAACAAGGCGGGGTGTTCGATCCCTGCATTGGCCGAGAAAGTTCATACAGATTTTCCGGCGTGGTTCTCCCTTGTCAGTGATGCAGGACGGAGGGCCTGATAAGGACTGCTGTCTAGTCCTTCGGTTGAGACGAAAAACCGAGGTCCTGTGTATACATTAGAATGCACGTAAAAGATCCCTTGGCAGTTGGAATTCGATATAAGAGTAGGCGAAAGTGCCGCTGCCGGGTAAAATTTCCCTCCTAGCACACTGTATGGCGTATGCCCGTCTTCATTAGCCCAGCATAGGAGCAGAACAGTAGGACGTTAAACCCCATTTCATTTCATTTCATTTCATTTCTATTAGTAGGGCAGCATTGGTCTGAATGGGGGATCGTCTGGCTGGAAAACACGGATGAATTCGGCATTTTGATGTTAAATAGACTCCTTGATCATCATGGATTTATGGAGACCATAAAACTGACTTGTTTTGTACTCGAATTTTCGGAGATAAGCCTGTTCTTTGTTCGTCATTTCGGTAAGCCATTTATTAATCCGATTGTTAGGGTGACCCACCATAAATAAATATCTCCAAATATCTTGACAATTACGCCACAATATTTATATATATGCCAAGCCTCAAATCAGTTTCACACAATTATAGTCACTAAATAAACGATCATGTTGTACTTAATAAGCTATGACCATTAATCATCCATAAATAATAGACAGAAAACTGGTTCCAAGTGTCGTCCATAACATCCAGACACTTTTGAGTAAAAGATAGGTTACGTGCCTTTGTTTTGAAATTAGTCTCGCTTAACCAGTCTATCGACCATTCTACGTCTGATTGACAGGTCGGGATAATCAAGACTATTTTTTTTTACGAAACTTGTAAAAGTAAAATGAAACTACTGCTAGTATCATGTTCCTGCTAACGAAAGTGATTCAGAGATATTATTTGTACTAAACCAAAAGATGCCGCTCTTAACGGTACAGTTAATGATAAAGCAATTTAAAAAAATAAAACAAACGTAATTTTTAAAGCTGCTGTAATAACCAAGAAGCTAAATTTTACTGCTATTCAAAATCGTCAACTATAGATTTTTTACGGCTGTAATAGTTGATATATTTGTAGAGAATTGCACATGCCATGGCTATTTATCGACTCAAAGAGAGTGCGGGGTAGTCAGAAATCAGTTCGAGACACGCAACTGAAGCGTTCACATTTAGCCGTGTCGAGACCAACTTTCTGTAGAGTGCACGGGTCACCCTACATTGTTCTTTTATCATGGTTCGAATCTATGGTTGTATACACCCGTTTGTCTTCAAGTATTGTAAGGACGTTTCTCTCATAATATTCCACACCTATGATAAAGGTACCCCCTTTATCGCTTTCTTTTATAACGATCGTATCCTTAGATTTTAAAGAATTCATAGCGCACTTTTCCTCCTTCGACACATTTGATTTTGCGTTGCGGTTTATAGGGAGTGGCAACTTGGTTAGATAGTCGATGAAATTGTCCAGCGTCACGTCCTTAACCTTCCTGGGGTTAAAGTGACCTTTGTTCCTCACAATACCCTCCGGCGCAGTATCCCTATCACCGAAAAATTCCTTTAGTCGTAATTTCCTACAGAAGGCGTTGATATCACACTCTAATTCCTGTATATTCACCCGATTAGATTTTATTACATACTTCGAGAAGGTATTTGTTGAGTAATAAAACCTTCTAGTAGTTTATCGATGGCTGGCCGTCCTTACCGCACGGTATAAATATTATCACCACTAGAAGCAACAAATTCCAGAACAAGCCAGAACTCACATCAAAATGGCCGCTTTATACAAATGAGTATTTAGGGGAATACTAACCCGAACCCTAACCCTTTTAAGAGAAGTAAAAACTAAATTAGACCCAAGTTCAGTCTTTTAAAAAGGGTTGGGGTTAGGGTTCGGGTTAGTTATCCCCAAAATTCTCATTTATATAAAGCGGCCATTTTGGACTCCGGAAGCACCCGAACCTCGATAAACTACTAGAAGGTTTTATTTGTACCGTGCGGTAAAGACGGCCAGCCCTCGATAAACTACTAGAAGGTTTTATTACTCAACAAATACTTTCTCGAAGTATGTAATAAAATCTAATCGGGTGGTATATTATCTTTAGGCGTACGTGTGAACTTTAGTCCTTTCTGTAGGAGGTTTATCTCGTAATGATTTAGAACTACGGATGATACATTTATGATTTATGGGTGTACTGGTTCAGGGAATTGGATATTGTGTGGACGTTCATTGAGTGACGCTGACCTTTCTTCTTGTATTGGGGTGGTGGTGGCTGGGGCTGGGATAGTGGTCGGTGTGGTTGTGATTGGCCTCTCTGAAAAAACTGCCTCCGGGTTTGAGAGGTTTCTTTAGTCCTCCGTTGTTATACCGCTGGTTGTTATTGGGCACGCTTGTCAATTTTCTCCCAGTTTGACTGTGTGTATTCTGATTTGAATCGCCATTGATTCTTTGTGCCCCTTAATGCTTTTTTCTCCCAGCTTGGTTGCGCACATTTGGGTTATTATTGTCATTGTTTTGTGTGTTCCGTGTTTCGTCCTTGGTTTTGCTATATATATATATATAAATTTAAAAGATATTTAGACGACGTCTTTCTCATTTGGAAAACTAATCTTGGCCACATAGCAGATTTGCACAAAATTTTAAATGACCTAGATATTAATATTAAATTCACTATTGAAACTAGTTACAAGGAAATCGCTTTTTTAGATGTTCTCGTTAAGAGATTATTTATCTTATAAGTCATGTCACCCCCGTCATGTTAAAAATAATATACCCTTTTCTCTTGCTAGAAAACTATGCACTATAATTTTAGACGAAGATCTTAGAATTCGACGACTTGATGAGTTGAGATCCAATTTATTGAAAAAAGATTATCCACTTGGGGTTATTAATATAGGTATTGAAAAAGCTAGGGGTCTAACTACTGAAGTACTAAGAACGCCAAAAGAAAAGAATATCTCTACTTGTATTACCTTTATTTCGACATATAATCCTCGACATAATAATTTTGTTCAACATATTTATGATACTAAGAATGTTCTCCTTTCTAATGATAATGTTAGTAATCAATTTCATGGCATAGATTTAATTAATAGTAAACGTCAGCCCCTAGCCACAAAAAATTACTCAGTAAAGCTTCA